GGATATTCATTCTGAAGCCTTTCAGAGCCACTGACACAAAGGGTCTGTCAAACTTGGAACACTATTTGTTATATCATTTTATTTTTTTCTCTTGGCAAATCCACATAATTCATACAGGACTATGCCAAAGTCTTTTGAAAGAAACCAGATTTAAGAACATAAAAATGTTAGTAAAGATAGTGAATGTTAATTCTGTCGTTGTTACTGTATTTCTTCAAGCTGTGGCTGCAAACTGCTTTGAGTGATGTTATTGTAACTCACACATTAGGGAGAGAAAAGAGATGTTTGGTAGATTTTCTAATTAATGACCCCTATCAATGCTCCTTGACCTTTCCCACTCTATCTCTCCACAACTTCCATCCCTGGTTGGAAATTTTTTGCTATACTAAGTGAGAGTTATTGATGGGAAGGCATCAGATATCTCATGTGTGTTGCTGGTGGGATGGGAGACTGTGGAGGACGGGAATAGGTGGAAATCTACTGCAATGGAAAAAAAAAAAAAAAAAAAGCGTGTCCTAGGACACCCAAAACATAAAGACTAGATAATAACAATAGCCACTTGTACTGAGAGCTTCCACTCTGCCTGGCTCTTTGCTATGAACCACATTATTCATTCCTTACCACAATCAAACAAGATAAATGAGAAAACTAGAGATTAGACAGGTTGTAGATACTTGCTCTGAGTCACTGCTAATGAGTAGTAGAGCTTTGATAAGTCCCTGAATTTAGGTTGTATCTAGTACATTTACTCTTAGAAGTCTATCATGCTCACCAGAGTTGCAGAGTTGAATGTATTTCTTGGGCTCATTAATGTGTTTTTTCTTTCTAATACTAAAGTCATTTGAACTTGTTAGATTTTGAAATATTTAAATGTCTTTTCTATCTGGCTTTAACATCTTGCATTCTTTCATATTCTTAGGACCACAAAACCACAGGAATATTTAAAATGATATCTAGTGGAAACAATATGAAGTTGGCCATGGGGTCAAATTAGAGAATCTGAACACTGTGCTCCTTCATTGCTCTTCATATTTCTTCAGGGTAACCTTATTCCCCCATCTCACACTCACCCTCTTTCCAAAATCATACATAATGCTCTCCCAATAGTACTCATTAAGCTTTCTCTACTGTACCCACTGTGAAATTACAGGAAAAGCCTACCGAGATCTCACTACCTCATCTCTCTCACACGTTTACAGAAGGTGAGAGGAAGGTGCAGATAGAGAATAAGAAGCAGGTGGCTCCAGCATCAACATTACATCATCCCTTGTGTTCACAACAAATATGGAATATTATCCAAACACAGTAAAGATTGTATTGTCTTCACTTAAACACATTCAATCAGACCTCTCTTTAATCATTTGTTAGTAGGCAGCGTCTTTATTTTCATGCCATTCTACTCTGCTGTCTTTGCTATAGCACAAGTTGACCACATACCATACCTAAAAATTCAGTTGTTCTATGGGGGTAGACAAAGTCTAGGTTAAGCATATATTTCACAGAGTGTTAATCTATAGCAAAATTAATGAATTAAATCCAGATAAAACAATCATATTAAGGTGTGGTAAAATATTTATATCTCACTTAGCAAAGAGAAAACCAAACTTGAATATGGTAGTTATGAAGAGAACATGCATGCTAGTAATGCTTCCAAGTACGTTATTACTTCATATTTCTTATGGGGTACAAGCCATTCAGTTAGTTTAACATTATATTCAGAGAGGCTAAAGATTTACTGAAGACAATGCCGTACATCAATAATGAAAACAAAAATTAAAAAATCTTTATTTTAACTTCTAGTTCCCTTCTTTGAACTTGAGTAGCTTTGCCTCCTTAAGAACACAGATCTAGAACATATGCAGTATCACTATCAATATTACTTGTAATTAAAAGTTCATTGGATGTTTACTGTGTTCAAGGCATTTTGAGGAGTGAAAAAAGTTAAACATATCGTTGTAATTCAAAATGACAATGAAATTAGTTTACAGTTTTCTTTTTTTTGTGGGTAGTGAGAAAGCGTCTCCCCCTATTAAGAAATACCAGTATACAAAAGGCAAAACTTTAAATATGAATGAACTGTTTTATAATAACATAAGTTCATCTTGATTTCCATTGTCGCATCCAAATTTGAAGGCTATTTCTAACACAGCTGGGTTCTACCCTTTTCATTCTCACCCTTTACCACACCCAATCTGTGAGGCTTCAGACAGAAATCGCTAATTCAGGAGACAATTGTGCCTTCTGTAACAGTTTCTGCTAAATTGTCACAGTTCTGCCACTTAAAAAAGCTAGATGATCTCAGCCTATCACCAAAGCTCTTGGAGCTCAGGTTCTCTGTCTGTAAAAGCTACATAAAATGTAATTTATCTGCTTGTTATGACTAAATAACATAGTACATTAGTCCTTTGCGAAAGTACTAACAAATTACCATATAAAAGTGTAGAATCATGTCAAATGTTGTAAGAAATGCAACTGTCGAAAAATAATTATCTCACATTGGTCTGGTAATGAGACCTAAAATATCTCATTTTATTTACCTATTTGACTCAAAGCACCAGGTCTCAAAGAGGTCACTGTTATACTATAAATACGTCATATGAAATAATATATTAAATAATTGTTGTAATAGCCTATTGAAGTACTAGTTGTAATAAGACACAATGGAAAACTTACACTATTAACAGTAATAAAAAGAAACAACAAAAAGCAATAAAAAACAAACCACCGATTCATGCAATGACATGAATCACCTCACAAATACTATGCCTAGTAAAAGAAGTCAGACAAATATAAAAAAGTTTATACTACGTGATTAGATTTTTATGACATTCTAGAATGTGCACATGAAGGGTGCAAGGTAACTGTCTGGAGTGATGAAAATGTCCTGTGTCTTCAAAATAGTGTGGGTTACACCAATGCATGGTTTTTTCAAAACTGATTTAAAGGGACACAACATCTGAGCATTTCACTAGGTGTAAATTACACTGAAATTTAAAAGAATCGTCTAATGACATTGTGGTTATTTTTAAACAGTTCTTAAATTTTGTGGATGCATACTGAATGTTTACAGTTGAAAAGATGTATATAAAGCTTGAATTTTGTGAAAAAAAATAGGGAGGATTGGTAGTGATAAAGTGAGTGGACTTATGAATGAGACATGATATGCCATGCATAGAAAAAATGTAAAAGTTGGGTGATATTCACATGGGAGTCCTTTATTCTTTCTACTTTTGCGTATGTTTGAATATTTCCCATAATAAAAAGTTGAATATAGGGCGATCACCTGAGTTCATCTCCTCATTTACAAAAAATAAAACTGGAAACAGAAGGAGAACATAACTTGTTCAAGGTCTCCAAGCCAGACAACAAACTAGCTCCCAAGTCCAACCTTCTTGCTCTGGTCCTAAGCAAACACAAACTATTAATATGAGCTACTGCGTTATGGAAAGTCTGTTTTTCCAAAGGGCAGACCAATAGTTCAAGGAAGAGTTTAAGTAATAAAAATTTGTAATCTTACTTTCATGTTTTTCTATTTTCCACTGAACACATAGGCATTATCTTCTATATGTCTTTCATGTATAATCATTTGTTTCCTATTCCTTGTGGTTTTAAAGTTGTTTTGTATGTTTACATTTGATTTTACTCAAATTTCAGAATCCAAATGAGTGCAAGAATCAGACAAAGCATTAGCTACAAATATAAAAACAATTTTTAAAAAACACAGCAAAAACGAGCTGTTGTTCCCCCCCCGCCCCCCGCCCCCCGCCCCCCGCCCCCACCAGTGCTTAACTAATCTTCCGAATCCAGGCACAGAAAGCAAAGGCTTTCTGCTAGTGGGAGGAGCTTGCTTCTCCATTCTGGTGTGATCCAGGAATAGCTGTCTTCCAGTTCTGAAAGAGGTGAAAATGTGTTAAGCGATGCAAAAATTGTCTTGAGGTTCGCGTGTGTACGTCTGTGTGTCTGTGCATGTGGTGGGTCGGGGGAGAGAAAAAGGGATGTCAATTCTGAGGGCAACGAGAATTAGAAGTCAGAAAGGTGAGTGGCGTGTAGCATCTCCCTTTCAGAAGGGGCTGAAAAAGAAATTGGATATGATGGTCTGGTAGGGTAAATCACGCTGGATTTGTCTACCAGACCATGCACTTAGGTCTGCAAAGTAAGTCCCATTTCTAGAGCGAAAAGCCTTAGGACCGCTTGTTTTAGACGGCTGGGGAATATTTATTCCTCGTTCCGCTGATGGGAAAATCAGCGTCTGGCAGGCGCTGATTGGTGGAAAGGAAAATGGTGATAGTGGGGTGGGAAGAGGATTTGCTGAGCCTCCTCCTGCCTCCTCAACCTGTAACTCTTCCTTAGTAGTCTCCGATTCACCTGCGGGACCCTTTCGAGCTCGACCTGGATTAAGAGCAAACGAAAATCTTGAGGATATTTGAACTAAAGCGACCCTTAACGTAGCCTGTGACCGTGATTAAATGTCAGCGATGCGAGGGCAAAGTGCTCTCGGCGGTGCGGTGTGAGCCACCTCCCTGCGCTGCCTGTCTCCTCCAGCAGCTCCCCAAAGGATGGGCTCTGCTCTGGGTGGTCGACCCTCAGGCCCTCGGCTCTCCCAGGTCGACTCTGACGAGGGGTAGGGGGTGGTCCCAGGGAGGACCCCGAGGAAAGGCGGGGACAGGAAGGGAGGGGAATGGGAAAGAGGGAGAGGCGTCAGCCCAAGCCCAACCGCTCCCAATCGCCACAAGAGTGCCCGTGACCCTGAACTTGAGGTGAGGCGCAAAAGCGCCCCCACTTTCCCGCCTTGCGCGGCCAGGCAGGCGGCTGGAATTGGTGGTTCACGCTGCGCCCCCTGCCCCATCCCCATCCGAGATAGGGAACGAAGAGCACGCTGCAGGGAAAGCCGCGAGCGCTGGGAGAGGGGCGGGGAGAGGCGCTGACAAATCAGCGGTGGGGGCGGAGAGCCGAGGAGAAGGAGAAGGAGGAGGACGAGGAGGAGGAGGACGGCGACGACCAGAAGGGGCCCGAGAGAGGGGGCGAGCGACCGAGCGCCGCGACGCGGGAGTGAGGTGCTTGCGGGCTGCAGCGCAGACCCCGGCCCGGCCCCTCCGAGAGCGTCCTGAGCGCTCCCTCACGCCTTCCCTTCAAACCTTCTGCCTTTTTCTCCATCCTCGTGAGCGGAGAACTGGGAGTGGCCATTCGACGACAGGTTAGCGGGTTTGCCTCCCACGCCCCCAGCCTCCCGTCGCCGGCTCACAGCGGCCTCCTCTGGGGACCGTCCCCCTCCCGGTGCCGCCTCCGCCCTTCCTGTGCGCTCCTTTTCCTCCTTCTTCCCTATTAAATATTATTTGGGAATTGTTTAATTTTTTTTTAAAAAAAGAGAGGTGGGGAGGAATCGGAGTTGTGGAGAAGCAGAGGGACACAGGTAAGTACCTGTGGATCTAAACGGGCGTCTTTGGAAATCCTGGAGAAAGCCGGGTGGGAGAGGAATGGTCGTGGGCACCAGGAGGGGGTGGTGCTGCGGTGAGGACCTGCTGTGTCAGGTCTCTGGGAGGTGAGTACTTGTCCTTTTGGGGAGCCTAAGGAAAGAGACTTAACCTGGCTTTCGTCCTGTCAAGGGCTTCTCCCCAAGGGCTGAGAGATTAGGATGCGTCTCCGGGATTCGCTTTTCCCCGGGAAACGCGAGGATGCTCCCTGGAGCGTGAGCATCCAACTTTTATTTCTCTCTTACCTGAAATCCGTCTGCCCGCTCTCTTGGTTTTTCTCTGTAAAGTAAGCAAGCTGCGTTTGGCAAATAATGAAATGGAAGTGCAGGGAGGCCAAGTCAACAGGTGGTAAAGGGTTAACAAGTGCTGGCGCGGGGTCCGCTAGGGTGGATGCTGAGAACGCCCCCTCGGGTGGCTGGCGCAGGGTTAGAGACGGCCCGCGAGTGTGAGCGCCGCCTGCTCAGGGTAGATAGCTGAGGGCGGGGGTGGATGCTCGGATGTATTAGAACCAGCACCCTTGGGCTCGCTGTTTGCCTGAGGTTGAACCACACCCAGAGTGAGTAGTTAGTTCTCTTGCCTACGCCTCTCCACCATCAACCTGTTAGCCTTCTTCTGGGATTCATGTTAAGGATGCCCCTGACCCTAAGCCTCCAGCTTCTATGCTTCTAACTCACACTGTTACCCTTTAGACCCCGGGAAGTTAAAACAGGAGTGACTCTTTTCATGCAACTCCACTTTTGAAATGCAGTATTAACAACTCAGAGGATTCATCCTAATCCATGGTTAGGTGGCTAGACTTTTACTAGCCAAGATGGATGGGAGATGCTAAATTTTTTTTTTTTTTTTTTTTGAGACGGAGTCTCGCTCTGTGGCCCAGGCTGGAGTGCAGTGGCCGGATCTCAGCTCACTGCAAGCTCCGCCTCCGGGGTTTACGCCATTCTCCTGCCTCAGCCTCCCGAGTAGCTGGGACTACAGGCGCCCGCCACCTCGCCCGGCTAGTTTTTTGTATTTTTTTTAGTAGAGACGGGGTTTCACCGTGTTAGCCAGGATGGTCTCGATCTCCTGACCTCGTGATCCGCCCGTCTCGGCCTCCCAAAGTGCTGGGATTACAGGCTTGAGCCACCGTGCCCGGCCGATGCTAAATTTTTAATGCCAGAGCTAAAAATGTCTGCTTTGTCCAATGGTTAAATGAGTGTACACTTAAAAGAGTCTCACACTTTGGAGGGTTTCTCATGATTTTTCAGTGTTTTTTGTTTATTTTCCCCCAAAAGTTCTCATTCAAAGTGTATTTTATGTTCTCCAGTGTGGTGTAAAGGAATTCATTAGCCATGGATGTATTCATGAAAGGACTTTCAAAGGCCAAGGAGGGAGTTGTGGCTGCTGCTGAGAAAACCAAACAGGGTGTGGCAGAAGCAGCAGGAAAGACAAAAGAGGGTGTTCTCTATGTAGGTACGTAAACCCCAAATGTCACTTTGGTGTTGGTTCATGACTGATGGCTTAGAATAATCAATACTCTAAATGCTGGTAGTTCTCTCTCTTGATTCATTTTTGCATCATTGCTTGTCAAAAGGGTGGACTGAGTCAGAAGTATATGTAGGTAGGTGAATGTGAATGTGTGTATTTGAGCTAATAGTAAAAAATGCAGCTGTTTCCTTTGCGATATTTTTAATTTTGCCCTAATATTTAGGACTTTTGAAAAATGAATGCTTCTGTGCCTACATAATTACATTTCAGAGAACAGTTTTAAAAATACATTGTCTTTTTAAAAAATCAAGAATATTCTTAAGAATCAAAATCATTGCTGGGTCTGTGATTTCTTTTACCATCATGAATAATGTTTGTCAATTTTAACCCATTCTGATTTTAAAAATATGACTTTGATATGCCCCTGTGCTGTGTATAAAGAGACCTATTTGTGGCCCTAAAACGGAAACAACAGATTAGTCTTTGGTAGAGTTACTTCATGTGATCATTTGGTCTCTGTGAACACTGAGGACAGAGAAAAGTGCTTGAGGGCTGCTACTGACCTCTCAGAAACATTTATACAGTTCATCCATCAAATGACAAACATACTGAAAGAATAAAGAAATTGATGCTTATTACCTACTTGTTCCTAAAGTTCCACCTTGGGGTATACACCCAAGCTCTGACTCTCTTTTCTGTATCTTGAATTGTGTTCAATTGCATGTTATTTTACAAGCCACTTTGAATTCTTTGGAAAAGAATAGACATACACGCTCTCATCCACAGGCATAGACACAGACACACACACACACTCAACATAGACACATTGCCCATTCTTCCACTCTTCTTTCTCCTCTGAGCTTTTTCACATTCTCTGGTGGCAACTATAAGCAGTTAGAGTCACAGGATGAACCGTCAGGTGGAGGATGAGCACATTGAGTTGCCTAGCTGAAACACGTGCTCCGTCTATGTCTGCAAAGCGAAAGAAAGCTACACTATCTCTTCAAGATAGATCAGTGGGGAAAATTTTATATTTGGAATGAGTTATATGAATGCGTCTCATCAAATTTCACAACACATTTTTTTTTCTGTTTTCTATTTTCAATTTTTAGAGTCAGGGTCTTGCTCTGTCGCCCAGGCTGAACTGCAGTGATGCTATCATAGCTCACTGCAGCCTTGAATTCCTGGGCTCAAGTCATGCTCCCACCTCAGCCTCCTGAGTAGCCAGGATTATAGGCATGTGCCACTGCCTCATTATTTAGACTTTTCTTATGTTGACTTAATCTTCCCACAAATCTTCAGTGAAATTACTTTTTTCTACCTTAAAACATATTTTCAGAAAGTCATTAAAATAGAGTGTTACAAGAGGAAAAAATGTATGAGTTAATTTTAAATATTTTATGAAGTGTGAATTATACCTTTTTATATGGAATTTGAAATACTGAATCAGTGACATGCAGTTTATCCATCTTTCCATTTGTCCTCAGATTTCCAAGTTTTGCAAGTACAAGTTTCTTTGACTTCAGTTACTTTATAACTGTTCATTGAAATCATTTTCAATGTCTCTCATGACATTTAACACATAGCACATTCTATAAATTATTTATTGGTTACATTCTGAGTTCTAATTGAGAGTTGAACTTATACACATACACAGAATTTAAGATAAAAAATGACCATGCAAAGACACAATAGTGTAATCCAGGGGTTGGCAAAATTTTTTGGTAAGGAATCAGATAGCACATATTTTAAGCCATGAGATCTATGTCTTGGCCAGGTGCCATGGCTCAGGTCTTTAATCCCAGAACTTTGAGAGCTCAAGGCTGGTGGATCACTTGAGCCCAGGGGTTTGAGACCAGCCTGGGCTACACGGTGAAACCCTGTGTCTACAAACAATGCAAAAATTAACCGGATATGGTAGCATGCACCTGTATTGCCAGCTACCCAGGAGGCTGAGGTGGGAGGATGGCTTGAACCATACAGCTAGCTGCAGAGGTTGCAGTGAGCTGAGATCAAGCCACTGCACTCCAGCCTGGGTGGCAGAATGCGACCCTGTCTAAAAAAAGAAAAAAAAAGGAAATCTATGTCTCAATTATGCTGTTGAAGTGTGAAAATAGTCATAAACAATAGCTAGTGTGGCTGTGTTCCAATAAAACTTCATTTATCAAAACAGGTGGTGGGCTGGAATTGTCTTGTAGGTTGTAGTTTGCTGACTACTGATAGAGTGGAAAGAACATGCACTAATCACACAAACCAAAGTTTTAGTTCGAGGCTACATCACTTATTACCTTTAGGGTCTTGGGGAAGTGTACTTAACATCTCTGAGCATCGCTTCCCTGATTAATAAAAAATATGATTTAGAAAACTGCAACGACCTTCTGGTTTTTGTAAGAATGTCATAATAAACAGGACATATGAATAATTGAGCACACTTTTATATATAGGAATCATGGTTATTATTATCAAATAAAATCTCCAACGGAATAATTACTTTACCAACATGTTTTCTATTTATTCTTTTGTCCTTCATTACATAACAAGTTTGAAAGATTGGAGGTGACCAAAGACCATTTTATAATTTCACTATGGCTGAAGATGTTTGGTAGAAGCCTCATAAGAAAAGTAATCTCAATCTCATCAATCTCAAAAGTATGTAAGAATATACTTTTGACAACTACTTTTTAACTCATTGCAGAACTACCTTAATGATCAGTGTTATTTTTGTGGGTCTTTTTCCTTCCATTTTTGTTATCTGTGTACACAAATTTTCAATCAAAGTACTTCAGTTTAATATACAAAAATTTCTTCAAATGACTCAGAAATTAATTAGACCTAAATTCAAAAGCAGAAAGATTTAATTATATAATGCTAAGTAATATAAATGCAATAAATGCAAGAAAATAATGATCTTGGAGTCTCTTCCAATGCCACTCTGTTCAATAAGCAGCAGGGGCCATCAGTGAAATTGACAGCAAATTCTCAAGTCAAAATGTGCTTCACCTCACTAAGCTGACAAAGTCAACATAGCATGCACAACAGGGATAGCTGGATTCTTAAAACTCACAGGTATTACTTCTGACCTTCTTCTCCACTCTGTGCTCTTTTGAGGTTGGGAAGACAAGATATGGTTGGTGGGGGACACTTCTGCTCAGGGAAGCTATCAGCTCTGGTGTCCCTACAGCATTTATATCTTGCTAGTCACATAACTACTTGGCACCTATTTTGTAGCTGTATGTTATCAATTACAGATTATTCATAAATTAAAGGCTAACCATCAATTACAGTTTATTGGTAAATAATTATGACCTCAAAGAACAGCTGATTGGTTTGATACATGGTAACCTTATGAGGACTCTCATTTATCTCTTTTTTTTAAGGTATATACATATCTCTTTGTTTGGGATTACACTACAAAAATATAAACTATGTTGCATATTTATAAAAAATAATTAATTATAAGTTCTAATGGTGTGGTTTAGTAGCATTCTTTTTTTTTTTTCTTTCCTGAGATAGGGTCTCAATCTGTCACCTCACTCCAGGCTGGAGTGCAGTGGCGTGATCTCAGCTTACTGTAACCCCCGCCTCCTGGGTTCAAGTGATTCTCCTGACTCAGCCTCCTGAGTAGCTGGGATTACAGGCATGTGCCACCACACCCGGTTAATTTTTGTATTTTTAGTAGAGACAGGCTTTCACCATGTTAGCCAGGATGGTCTCGAACTCCTGACCTCATGATCTCCCTACCTCAGCCTCCCAAAGTCCTGGGATTACAGGCATGAGCCACCATGCCTGCCCTAGTGGCATTCTTTTTTAAAAATAAATTTAATTGTGTATATTTAGGGTATACAACATGATGTTATGGGATACATTAGACACTAAAAATTACTGTATTGAAGAAAGTTAATATATTCATAATCTCCCATAGTTACCTTTTTTGTTGTTTTTGTGGCAAGGGCAGCTAAAATCCACTTATTTAGCATGAATCTCAAATATAGTACAATTTTATCACCTATAGTCCTCATACATTAGATCTGTACACTTGTTCATCCTACAAATCTGCTACTTGCTTGGATCCTCTGGCCTATATCTCCCTCTTTTCTATCTACTTTTCCACCCCTATTAACCCTGTTTTTTACTTAGTGTTTGTACATTTGAATTTTGTTTCAAGCTTCCACATATATGTGAGATAATGTGATATTTTTCTTTCTGTGTTTGGCTTATTTCACTTAGCATAATGTTGTCTGAGTTCATCCATGTTGTAAATGGTAGGATCTTATTCTTTTTAGGGCTGACGGATATTCCATTGTATCTATGTACCACAGTCTTTTTATCTACCTATCTATTGGTAAACACTTTAGTTGTGGCTATTGTGTTTTTCTTTTTTTCTTTTTTGGAGATAAGGTCTTGCTGTCACCCAGGCTGCAATGGAGTGGTGTGATTATAGCTCACTGTAACCTCAAACTTCTGGGCTCAAGAGATCCTCCTGCCTCGGCCTCCCAAGTAGCTGGGACTACAGCATGCATCACCATGCCTGGCTAATTTTTAATATTTTTCGTAGAGATAGCATCTCACTCTGTTGCCCGGACTGGTCTCAAACTCCTAATTCAAATTTAAAATAGAGTATGACAATTCTGTAAAATATAAAAAACATGTCCACTCCGTATAGGAAGTAATACAATGAGAAGAAGACAAACACTATTTATATTACTCTTGATAAGCTTTTTACAAAGAAATAAAACACTTTAATTTTTAATGTTTTATAGTTTGCTAAACAAATACTAGTTTTAGTGTTTTTAAAATTCCTTATATATTTATAAGTGATCTTCCTGCCTCAGCCTCCCAAAGCACTGGGATTCCAAGCAAGAGCCACTGTGTTGGGCCCTTGAGGGTGCAGATATGCTGAAATCTTTTCTTGTGGATTTACACCCAGAAGAGGGATTGCTGGGTCATATGCTACCCTACATTCAATTTTTCTTTTATTTTTAGTGAACATGTGATAATTGTATATAATTGTGGGATCCAGAATTATATTTCCGTACATGTATACAACGTGTGATAATCAAATCAGGGTAATTAACATATCCATTACTTGAAACATTTACCATTCCTTTGTGGTGGGAACATTAAAAATGAAAAATTCTCTCTTCTATATTTTTGAACACATGCAATAAACTATTGTTAAGTATATAACCTTACAGTACTACAGAATGCTAGAACTTATTCTTCATATTTGGCTGCAATTTCATATTCCTTAACCAACCTCTCCGTATCCTCCCCTCCCTCTTACCCTTGTCAGCCTCTAATAATCATAATTCTACTCTCTACTTCTATCTCATTGTCTTTGATTCAGAATACATTTCATCATTTAATCAAAAGTCAAATTCTTAGATACTGCTAAGGCAGAGAAGAAAGACCGCAGACCAGCTGTTAGACATTTCTTACTACTAGTCATTTTTAAGACAACATGGGGTGCAGAGGGTGAGGATAAGAGATAGAGATTGAGATATATTCTCTTAAATACCAGCTGTTCTCACTCTGCATAGTTTCAGCACACACAAATTTCAGTTACCACGGTTAGTTAAATAGCACCAACCCCTAACAACACAATTCAAATTTCTGTTACCACAGTATACTGAAAGTAATTGCATAAAGTACAAACTTTGCTGCTAACTCTTCAGCCTTCAAATCATTACATAAATAACAGAAACCCATTATAATCAGTGACAAAACCACAGCACTTCTTTCAAAGCTTTTTGGTGATTGGTCGCTTCACACGTGTTATGCAGTTCATACACACAGCAATGCCCGTAGTTGTATAGCCGCTTTGTCTCCCAGTGGTGAGCCCATGTGATGTTTCACAAAAATGCACAATCAAAAGAGGAAATTGACCAGTAAAGATGAAAGAGCAGCAAAGAAAGGAAGTGAAACATGCTGGAAGTAAAATTTGAATCAAACATAAGTTGATTTATATAGGAAGTAGCCACCCCTGAGGATGTTGTCACTGCGCAATTCAGGAGACTCTAGATATGCAGTCAGAGGAATGTATTGAAGGTGGAGGTATCCATATAAATGGGGAAAGAGGTTGTGATAAAGAGTGAAGGTGTCCCAGAGGAAGTGATGTTGAAAAATACACCTTATGTTAAGTACACTCTCAGTATATCATGACATTAAAGTGCAAATGGTAACATTTTTTAAACTGATCCAGACTTAAAAAGGAGTATGACAATTCTGTGAAACATAAAAATCATGCCTATTCCATAAATTATATACAGTGTGAATTACACTGAAAAGTCCAACATTAGAGAGGATATGAATAAAATTTTTAACAAGCATAATTTTAATAATACACATAGTAATTATTTGTATACAAGTTTAGTAATGGTCCAGGTTTGGAAGAAATTCTGATCCTGAGTAGAAAACCTAGTTTGAATGTGCTTATAGCCTATTATTACATGTGTAATGTTAGACAAATTACTTAACTCGGATTTTTAATTTCATCAGCTATTTTAAATGGGCATAATATAACTACATTCAATGGATGTTGTGAAGATTAAATAAGATATATGTAAAGTGTTTTTTACATAATGGGTGTTCAGCACATGTTAAAGCCTACTCTCTTTGCTTTTGTTTCATGAGTTGACTCATTTGTCTCTAGTGCTGTATTTTTAAAGCTTCTGGCCGGGCAGAGTGGCTCAAGCCTGTAATCACAGCACTTTGGGAGGCCGAAGCGGGCAGATCACGAGGTCAGGAGATCGAGACCATCCTGGCTAACATGGTGAAACTCCCGTCTCTACTAAAAATATAAAAAATTAGCCGGGCGTGGTGGTGGGCGCCTGTAGTCCCAGCTACTTGGGAGACTGAGGCAGGAGAATGGCGTGAACCCGGGAGGCGGAGCTTGCAGTGAGCAGAGATCCGGCCACTGCACTCCAGCCTGGGCGACAGGGCGAGACTCCGTCTTAAAAAAAAAAGAGAGAGAGAAAAGAAAAAAGCTTCTACAGCTCTGATTTCAAAATTATCTTCTCACCAAGCCCCAGTGTAATCTCGTTCTTTTTTCTCCTCTGTAAGTTCATATGTGATGTGGGAACAAAGGGGATAAAGTTATTATTTTGTGCTAAAATCTTAATTGGAGATGACCTCCTGTTAGCTTGGCTTTCTTCTATTTATTGTGGTGGTTACTGGAGTTCCTTCTTTTAGTTTTAGGATATATATATATATTTTTTTTTCCCTGAAGATGTAATAATCTATAGACTTCTGAAGACTGAGTTTTTAAATTAGTTGTATTGAAAACTAGCTAATCAGCAATTTAAGGCTAGTTTGAGACTTATGTCTTGAATGTGTTCGTTTTTGTAGGCTCCAAAACCAAGGAGGGAGTGGTGCACGGTGTGGCAACAGGTAAGCTCCACTGGGCTTAGATCCAAAGACGATAAAGTATCTAGTGATTAGTGTGGCTCAGTATTCAGCATTCCGAATGACACTATAAAACAATCGCTGAGCATTCTAAGAGCATATCAGTCTTATTCAAACTGAATTATTTATGAAGTATTTTTAAATAGGTAAATATTGATTATAAATAAATAAAAAATATAGTTACTTGCCAAGAATAATGATGGCTTTGAATTGATAAGCTATGTTTAATTTATAGTAATTGGGCATTCAGATATTCTGACCAAAAATGTATTGACAAACTGCTGACAAAAATACAATGTGAAATAGCCATTATTTTTTTAAAAAAATAGAGTAAAATTTCTGTTGATTACGATAAAATATTTTGACCTTAAGTTATATTGATTATAATATTTCTTTGATAATTCAGAGTATGTTTCAGGAAACACCCTTGGACAGTCAGTAAATTGTTTATTGTATTTATATTTGTATTGTTATGGTATAGCTATTTGTACTGATATTATTGTGCAATTATCATATTTCTGATTATATAATTCATTTGGCCTAAATTTACCAAGAATTTGAATAAGTCAATTAGGTCTACAATCAAGAAATATCAAAAATGATGAAAATGATGATAATCATCATCAGATGATGAGGAAGATGAGGATGAGAGTGCCAGAAATAGAAAAATCAAAGGGGAACCAAAATTTAACAAATTAAAAGCCCACAGACTTGCTGTAATTAAGTTTCCTGTTGTGAGTACTCCACGTTTCCTGGCAGGTGTGGTGAAACAAAAGATATAATCAGAAATATAATTTATATGATCAGAAAGCATTAAACACAATAGTGCCTATAAAAACAAAATGTTCCTATCAAGGACTTCTAAAATGGAAACGAAAAAAATGATATGGGAATCTTAATACAGTGCTTGTGGTTAGGACTAAAAACACAGGAGTCAGTTCTTGGTTCAACTTGCTGCTTACTCCTTACCAGCTGTGTGGTGTTTTTGCAAGAGTCTTCACCTGTATATGATTTTGCTTCCTCATCTATAAAATAATTCAGTGAATTAGTGTACACAAAGCATCTGGAAAACAAAAAGCAAACAATATATATATTTATAAGTGTACTTCTTGCTTTATAGTGAACTTTCTTGTGCAAAATTTTTACAACTAGCGGAGAAAAATATTTTTTAAATGAATATTTTTGATTTAAAAATGGGAGTGTAAAAATAAAGCAGACTCCTTTGAAACTAGTTCTGTTAGAAGTTAATTATGCACCTTTAATGGGCTCTGTTGCAATTCAACAGAGAACTAGATAAGTAAATGGACTATGTTGCCTTCTAGGGACCTCCTATAAATATGATATTGTGAAGCATTATTATAATAATAACTAGATAGCAGACAGGTGGAGACTCTTCTATCTGAAGAGGGTCAATCTAGATGAATGGTGTTCCATTTAGTAGTTGAGGAAGCACCCATGAGGTTTAGAAAGCAGACAAGCCATGTGCCAAGTTTTGGAGTCAGTGGTAAAAATTTAAAAAACCCAACTACTACTGTCACCTAATCTAATGGAGACTGGAGATGGACTGCATTTTTTTAGTCTTCTCCAGAATGCCAAAATGTAAACACATCTGTCTCTCTCTCTTTCTCTCTCTCTCTCTCTCTCTCTCTCTCTGTGTGTGTGTGTGTGTGTGAGAGAGAGAGAGAGAGAGAGAGAGACTGAAGTTTGTACAATTAAACAACATTTTATAAAATGTTTTCTGAAGGACAGTGGCCCACGATCCTAAGTTTTCAACATTGTACTATGTTGGGAGATTCTGCATACTTTATTTTCTCTTTGGTATATTAAGGAATCTGAGATGTCCTACAGTAAAGAAATTTGCATTATATAGTTAAAATCAAGGTTATTCAAACTTTTTGATTATTGAAACCTTTCTCTATTAGTTACTAGGGTTGAATGAAACTAGTGTTCTACAGAAAACTATGGGAAATGTTGCTAAGCAGTAACGACATGGTGATTTCAGCATGGGCAATATTTACAGCCATTACACCCATGAACCACCCTGGCAGTAGTGAAGTACCAAAAATACTGTCATAACTAGTATGGCTATGAGAAACACATTGGGATAAATCAGCTGCTATCATAATCATTCCTCTCCCACATCAGATAAATGAACTAATTTTTTGAATAGGGTTATTTAATATAAAGTTCTTAAGTCTAATTATGAGAAGAAATAAGACAATTACTTCAGTGGTTAAAGAGAGAATAATTTGCATATTTTACCTGATGTAAAATGTTTGCTATGGGTACATATTAAGTGCTAACTAATTGTTAATTGTTCTTGTTACAACTCTTAATGCAGGGAAACAAGAAACTATTACATAGTACCTAATATTAACTTCTAATATTAAATAAACAATTTCCCCCAAATTCATCCCATTAGATTTCTTTTCAAGGGGGCGGGAGAGAAATATAGACTTCAGTAAACTTGGGCTGGGAGCTTTCTACCTACAAAGTTCAAGGAAAACAAATTATCCTAGTTAGATAATATCAATGAAAAATCCACCAACTTAAATCCTGGCTCTTTGATCTCGGGAAATTATTTCAGTTATCAACTTAATGCATCATATATGAAAATGTATTTAATTAAACTTACTGAATGATATGTTTTTAAGGTACTTTAAAAATAAACTATGATATAAAGTTACTTATTTTTCATGCAAGTGTAGTATAAAGAAATTTCTGACACTGGAGATTTTCTGAAGGTTTTGATTCTTGTAAATTTATTACATCATAATGAACAAAACTAATTTTCAACATGTTATGATCTAAATTTCCTTAGTAAATTATTTTAAATTTATTTTCTTTAAATCTATCATTTGTATAACAATTCAAAACTAGATATTCTTAATTTTATAATTTTGTTTAATGTCAAAGATTAGATTTTGCTATATCTATTCTAAAAGTTCACATTTCCTTTTTGGATTTTTATTTTTAACTTAGTTAAAGTCAAATATAAACCTATTACTTATATTAATGCAGACATTAGAGAGAGATACTAAATTCATTTTAGTATATTCTAAATTATTTATCTACTATAAAATAATATAAAGAAAAATAAAGTAGAATCCCTGATTTCAAAAAACTCAGTTGCTGAAAAACAGATACCATTTGCTAGACTCAAAATGTACTAATATGAGTATGTCTCTTTTCCTTTTGTTTTGTCATCGTTGGTTTGGAATGTCAGTGAGTAGAGAAATAGTGTGGAAGGCCCTCGGGGGAAAAATAGAGGTTCAAGGTCAGCAGAGACCCTACTAGAGAAACCAGTTCTACAGAAATGTTTTTAAATGTGTCGATGATTGCTACCTGTATACTCTGTTATTTTGTCATGTAACCATTTTATTTATTATTATAATAATAAAAGAGTGAAATTATAATAATGTGCAGAGTACATTTTACTGTGCAGTGTATTGCATTTAAACTAGATTAAAATGTATACATCTATAAAAGGTTATCTAGATATTATAAAATTTATGGCTGGATCTGTAAAAAATTCAAAACCTATTTTTAATCTTGCTTCGAGATTTTATAACAAGAAAATGTTCATTTGAAGCAAAATTTTCAATTCTCGTCCTTGAAAACGAAAAAAATGACAACTTGAAACACATAATTGACTATTTTTAAAGGATCAACATTTCAGAAATGTTTTAAAACATAAAATTTTCAGTACAGCTTTTCACTGGCATTTAAATCGAACTTTGAATTGTAAATAGCTCTTACTCTTAAGGAGACATCAGCCATATCCTTAGAAATGGCACGGAGTTGGTAGGTAGTTGTACAAAATTCTAGCCTAAAAGACAAGTAGGGAGCAACAATACTGTGGACCCTTTCTGGTCTTGGGCTGTGTGGCTATGTCAGGCTTCCCCACATTGCCTGAACTAAGGAGAAAGCCTCTTGTCCTTACAGGCCCCTTAGCTTCTGTGACTTACATAGTCTATTTGAAAATGAATTGCTTTGTCCACACCATTTAACTATTGGCTTCTTCAGCTGGTGAGATGAAAACTATACAATAATCATGTGACTAGCACGAAAGAGCTGACATGGTGTAACTCCTCTCAGACTGAGGCTTATCTGGGGAGTACAAATCATATCAAGAAAATGTGCCTTCATTTCCTTAGATGAGTGTCCCCATCCTCCACTCTCCTCCACTGTTCTCCTCTCTGCTTCTATGATACCAACTTTTTTTTTTTCTTTAGATTCCACATGAGTGAGATTATGTTGTGTTTGCCTTTCTGTTTCTGGCTTATTTCACTGAACAAGAAAATTTTTGACATGAAATTAAATTTCTGCCTATAAACTCAATTCAAACTATTTACACTGTCTTCTCAAAAATGTTAACTTATTGTAATAAACCTACTGAATGACCGTATCACATTTTGTTTTGTGAAAACGAATTTTAAGGGTGCTCAATAGCCTCTTCATTTTCATACTGTCCAGCTCCTTTGCTCCTATTAAAATTACTGCAAGTTAGCTTTTAAGAACCCTATGTTTCACTACCTGAAGTTCTATAAAAAGATCCAAGTTCCTTCACAACCATTTCTTATGCTGTCATTCATACATATGTAATAATACCGTGTCTGAACACACAGATAAGAAGTATGGGCTGGGTGCAGTGGGTCATGCCTGTAGTCCCAGCACTTTGGGAGGCCGAGGCAGGTGAACCACCTGAGGTTAGGAGTTCGAGACCAGCCTGGCCAACATGGTGAAACCCTGTTTCTACTAAAAATACAAAAAAAATTAGCCAGGCATGGTTATGGGCACCTGTAATCCCAGCTACTCAGGAGACTGCGGCAGGAGAATAGCTTGAACTCAGGAGGTGGGGATTGCAGTGAGCTGAGATTGTGCCATTGCACTCCAGCCTGGGCAACAAGAGTGAAACTCTATCTCAAATGAATGAATGAATGAATGAATGAATAAATAAATAAATACAAATATGTATTGTGTTGTTTAGAATGTGTGGTGGAAATGAACTTGCTGAGTGAGCTCAAAGGATTGGCACTGAATTGAAATAAAGAAATACTCATGTTGAGTCTGGTTCAACTATAACTGCACCTGTAAGAATTGCTTTCCTTAGTATAAAACAAATCCAAATCACTCATGGCTTTACATTCCTGATCATTAAACTTGAAGCACTTTTTAATACTGCATGACTTTAACAAAAATATCTTAGCCGAGATTCAATGTTTGGTTGAGCCACACTCACTTGGACACCTTGGTTGCTTGTTTCTTCTGACCCCTCAGTTGTCTATGGCATGTGTAGATACAGGTGTATGGAAGTCGATGGCTAGTGGAAGTGGAATGATTTTAAGTCACTGTTATTCCACCACCCTTTAATCTGTTGTTGCTCTTGATTTGTACCAGTGGCTGAGAAGACCAAAGAGCAAGTGACAAATGTTGGAGGAGCGGTGGTGACGGGTGTGACAGCAGTAGCCCAGAAGACAGTGGAGGGAGCAGGGAGCATTGCAGCAGCCACTGGCTTCGTCAAAAAGGACCAGTTGGGCAAGGTACGGTGTGTACACTTTGTGCTACATTTATAAGCTGGTGAGATTATGGTTCATTTTCATGTGAGGCCTGGAGGCAGGAGCAGGACACTTACTGTGAGGAACAGCTACCTGACCCTCCCCTTGTGAAAATGTGCTACCTTTATATTGGTCTTGCTTGTTTCAGGCATTAACCCAGATAAATGCCATGCAAATTTTATAATTATCATGATTGTTTCAATTTCTAGAAGAAAGTTAATGAAATAAAAAATGTAGTAAAATGTCAAAGGAACAGTGACATTTCAAAAAGAATGAGGGCTTTCATGTTAACTATAAGTCTTGGAATTTCTCTTCCTTGGAATAACAAATCTCTTTGTGCCTAATTTCTTAATTTCCAAAATAAAATTCTTTTACTTGATTTCTTTATAGTGACATCATCTCTTATTAAATGGCATATTTGCATATTACATAACAGTTCATTGCCAAATACATGTTTGTGGGAACTAAGAGGTTTAAAATATATACCAACCAGAGATCATAGCTTTGAGGTAGATTTTAAAATTCTGAGAAGAATTTTGACTGAATTTTTTGACAAACATGGGGCACAAATAAGATTATACCAAAGATACTATAACTTTCATTTTAAATATGAAACTAATACAGTATGAGGTGTCAACAATGATGAAATTTTACAAATGTCACCACTACAACAGCAAAATGATTTTTGCTTTTTCCCTGTCTCCTTGCTATTTCTTGAATAAATCAAGCATACCCTTGCCCTGACACATTACTGGGGAGGCCTGCCTTAATCTATATAAAATTGGAGCCATTCTTCTCACCTTTGGTATTCTCAGTCTCCCTACTCTTTCTTTCTCCTTCCTTCCTACCTTCCTTCCTTCCTTCCTTCCTTCCTTCCTTTCTTCTTCCTTCCTTTTTCTTTCTTTCTTTTTTCCTTCCTTCCTTCCTTCCTCTCTCTTTTCCTTCCTTCCTTCCTTTCTTTTTTTCTTTCTTTCTTTCTTTCTTCCATCCTTCCTTCCTTCCTTCTTTCTTCCTCTTTCTCTTTCCCTCCCTTCCTTCCTTCCTTCCTTCCTTCCTTCCTTCCTTTGTTTTTCTTTCTTTCTTTGCCAAAGTGTTCTTCACCTTTAAATATAATAAATAATTTGCTTACTTTAATGTATTTTTTAAATTTTATTTCTCCCTTCTATTATGTAGGCACCATGAGAGTGAAATATATTTATTTTGTTCACTGATATTTCACAAGTGTCTGAGAGAGTTTCCAACTTAGAGTAGACAATTAGCATACGTTTATTAAGAAGGGAAGAAAGGAAGGAAATAAGTGAGTAAGCAGAACAACTTTTATTTATGGGTCTTTTATAATCATATCCTTAGTATAAGAACAGTGCTATTCAGCTATCCAAAAGTTAAAATCAAAATGATTTTGGATGAATCTCTTCAAAATTGTGAGAAAGAAGTTTTATTTGCTGGCAAACTATTCTGGGTTGTTTCCACTTCATGTAATCCTAAGTAGCAGCCTTACCTTGATAGCCCATTAAAACACTGATAATAAAAAGGCAGAACAAAAATATCTGTGATATATTTAGATTTACTACATGAAGTTACATGTCTAGTGTCTGGTGCAATGGATGTAATTATGGCAAATCCTGACTGGGCTTCTAGTGAAGTTCTTCAGCTAATGCTTGAATGCATGGTTGGTCATGGCGATACCCCTTTGTACAAAATATGCTTTTCAAATAATCTTATTAGGGATAATAATTATATTAATTCCTGGTTTCCATCTAAAATTATAATTCTATTTATAGCTTTGTAAGATTTCACAAGTTAAGAGGGACCTCAGATTAAAATAGTACACAGGCAATTGACCAGTTTTGTGTCTCAGACCCTTTTCGCAATCTAATAGAAGCTATGGATCCTCTTAGCTTCAGAAAAATGTGTCCTCACATACACACATCAAAGGGCTTAATGGGAAGTCCATTGACAGATCCTCTGTTCAGATCAATCTTCTGATTGTACAGATGAGGAAACTGAAATCAACAGAGGAAGTGGGTAGTGCAAGATTGTACAATCATTTGGAATAGACTGGACACCAATAGTACTTTTCCAGCCACTGTATCACTTCCCCAAGCACTTCCTCAAAACTTACCTTCTTTTGGGTCTTTATACATTCAGTTATGGACAACTAGATTTAACTAGAGAATTTTATTACTTCAGAATATTAAGCAACAGGGAAACATGTACCATCCTTTCGTTATTCACCTGCATTTAAGGCATACAGTATAAATTGCAAATGGAGCATGAAAGTGCTTAATCTTTTACAAAACTGGGTTTGCTTTCCAACCATCTAAAAATACTGCTATTTATTTTAATATTTAAAGCAGAAATCTAAATGATGTAACAAAATTAATCATTTGGAGATATTTCCCTTATCGTATCTTACTGATTTCTAATATGAAAATGAAGTCATAAAACCTAGAAATTGCAGCATAGTTGTGGAAATAAACATTGGACTGAGAGTGAAAATGGCTAGTCTTCATCTCTGCTCATACACCACCTGACTGGATAACCTTTTGCAGATCTCCTAAAAGTCTTTCTCATATAATGAGGAAGCTCTACTAGAAAATTGTTGAAGTCTAATTTAGCAATAAAGTTCTGAGTTTCTAAAATAATTCAGAGAGTACTCTAATAAACGTCTGCAATTGTGGCCACATCTATGGGATGCTAAAAAATCTGGATGGTTTCAATGAAAGTATTTAATTTGTTCATTATGATATTTGAAATAATTTATTTCGTTTTTTAAACTCTGATCAAAATGACCCTGGCAACTAGAAATAAGCAAAATCTTTTTGCTTGAAATGCTTATTAATGACCACATTGAGACACTCATTCATCATTCAAGAAAGAATGTTTGCTCACACTGTGCCAGGAACTTGGAGGAAGAGGGATGTGACAATTAGGGATACCAGATGTCTAGCTTGTAGAAGTGGATTAATGGCCGTACTTTAAGATCAGGAACACTGAAAGGGAGTAATGGCACCGGTTTTAACCTTTCATGCCCTTTGAGGGTATTTGACCCATCACCCTCTAGTTGATGAGGGGGAAATTTTCCTCTCCCTTCACAAATATGGGGAAATTAAATTACGTAATTCTGAATAACCAATAAATCAAGAGTAAATCAAAGAAGATACCTGTTTTGTGAATTTGATCATATGAATATAGCTGCCCTTATTAATAATTTCTGAGTATAAGACTAGTTAAAGGACAAATGAGTTATCTTGAATTATAAGAATTTGTTTTACAGAACAATATTAACTCTTGTGTTTAGAATTAGAATTAGAATAGAATTAGAATTAGAATAATAGATCTTTTGATCTATATTTTACTCATGTACACATAAGAAGTTATCAGTCATATAATTCATTTCTTGAAGTTCATACCTTTTATTGGCAGAGTAAAAACAGGTTAAAAGTGCACTGGCAGAAATTTTAAGTGCAAAGCAACAGTGATGTTATATAGAGAAAATTTATATTTCCTACTTCTATTGAGGAAGAAACATCTGCTTGTTCTAAGAATATTGTACAAAGAAAGTGACTTGGATCAGCATTATTCTGTGGTGCTACTATGTGTGCAGTGTGGAGCTAGCCACCAGAACACTTGGTCTATCCCAGCTCCTCAACAGTGTCTTGCATGTGGCTGGTGCTCAAATAAATCCTTGCTGAACTAATGAGCATTTCTTTCATGCCACATGGAATGCTCTAAAAGAGTTGGGTCCTGAAGTTTTTATATTTTTATAATTTTCTGGAGTTTTAGAGAGCAAAAGTCCTAGATAAACTGTGAAGCCACTGCCTGACAAATAATACAGCAGTCAGCTTCATTATCGTATCCCATTTAGACACTGACTTATCTACATGATGATTAGTAGTTTTCATGCAAGAAATAAGCTTGAAATATCTGTTGCCTCAGGTACTGAAAACATCCAGGTTCAGCAATGTTATTTATTGTTGTTCAAAATCAGAATGAAGTTCCTAAACAATGCCATTTTGGAAAAATTGGATCAATAGATTATAAACAGTTTTTTAAAAATCAGGATTCAAATGGATTAACGTGTGTATATTCTGTAATAATCCTGACTTAATTCATAAAAAGATAGCTAGCCAGTGGTGTGGTAGATGAATAAAACAAAAGCAGGATTTAAAATGTCAGATTTGACATCATGAACTATAATATCTAAGCATTCTTTTACTCACTTCCTTTGAACTTACTACAGCTGTCATGTTGGACTTCATGCAAATTTATTTTTAAATGCTTGAGTGTTATGGACCCTCTGATTAAATGATTAATCAGATGATGTATGCTGCCATCAGCTGAATCATTTAATGCTGATTTCACAAACAAGCACAGGTCACAGGCAACCTTTCAGATTTCTTTGAAGAAGCACACACAGGTCATAGGCACAATCTTAAAATAATTTTATAACAAGGTAGTAATAAAAGATGTCAGGACTGGAGAAATATTTTAATTTATAGTACACTTTCCCCTTAAGTGTCTAATAATGATTAATATAATACCTTGCCTCAAATAATTAGGAGTTTGATTCTTGTCCTTGTGCTTGACTTCAGAAGATAACCAGATGACTGTTAGGTATATTTAGACCTAAATTAAAAGCTTTGAGGCACAGTGAATTGCTTGATTTGTATTTGTGTTTGGAGTGGCATATACTATTACTGGCACTATAATCTTAGATTAAAGCATAGTGTGATTATTAAAGAAAAATTTTAGATTGATTTGTTTCTAAAGATATGTAACAGTGACATTTTGCAATGTGGTATGTAAAAGTTGTTATCTTTTTACTCATATGAGAGTCCATTAATGGTACATAAACTGTCCCCACTTAGAAACACAATTACTATGGACTTTCTTTGTATCTGACAAAATTTCACTGGGTTCAAGATGGATGAATAATGAATTATAATGACCCTTAATGCTGTAAGGTTCTAGGTGGGAAAGTA